ACGGACATCCGCCCAGAAACCGATTTTCCCCGTCTTTATTCCTAATCCGGCGGGTGCGATGACTCCTGAAATCAATATTATAGAGCGATTTCGATTTTTGCTTTTTTGCATTTCACACTTTATAAATAAGTTTGGCCACTCTTTTATATTTCTGCCATTAAATTCCATGCTTATTTAGAAATCACCGAGTTCATGTGCCTCCAACTTCCTTAATAGAAGAGAAATTGACAGTATACAAATTGCGAACCCGTTCGCGAAGGCATTATTTTGGGGCCATCGTTGTCTGTACTAGCGCCCTCATCCATTTTGCATGAAGGCTTTGTGTTTTTTCGTACACATTCCGTATGTGTTTCCTGTTGGTGGAAAAAAGTCTCAGTTGTTCAAGTTGTTTCATAGCTAAGATATATTACAGCGAACGATTTATTTAAACATTGCTTTTTTCCTGTAATTTGATTGTGGACGTTTATGGGCTCTTTCTGCTATGCCGTGATCGGCCTCCGTAGAATATCTAGTCGGTTACGTGAACGGTTGCTTGCAGCCGTAAAAATAGCGTCCAGCCGAAAATCTGGCCAGCCGAAAATCCGGCCCGAATTTCGTGCCAATTTCAGCCTGGTATACCCGGCAACTCATTTTCGTTTTGAACCACTTAATTTCTTCATTATTCGTTTAAATTATGTACAAGATAACGGCAGACGTCTGGATTTAAGACCAAGCGAAAATCAACGATAAAGTTAAATAGCGCCCTCTGCTGATCAAGGACTAAAACAGGGAAATAGAGTGCTCTGTTTTGATTGGTCAGTTTCTAATCGCCATCAGGTCAATGTCCAAATTAAACACCCATGCATTGTGCGGGAACTTGACAAACGTGGGTGAAGAATCTGCGCAACATCCCTTCAAAATGTTGTTTCCGAAGGCCAAGACAAAGTGATTCAATGAGATTGATTGTAAGTGTACGTTTGGCATTTGTTTGAAACTTTCACACAACCGCACACGTACACAGACAACTGATACGCGGCAACTCATTTTTGTTTGGAATCACCTAATTTCTTCCCTATTCC